ATATATATATATTTTAAAACCTGTCTAAAATGAAAACTGTTTAAAATGAAACTTACTCTGTTCTGAAGAACTTTTTTATGTTAAATTCTACTAAAGCCTGAAATCTGCCCAACATGGATACAGAAGAGGTTTTTGAGTATGAAAAATGTAATTTAACTGGATAAAGTGAAAAATTAAGATTTCACTTGTAGACAATAAGTAAAATGACCAAGTATAATGGTCATTGCAGAGCATAACAAACTGTTTTCTGAGAACCACTTCAGATCTTGTCAGGGAAATGAAGGTCATATGACAAGGAGACATATGGACACACAGTCTTTGTTGGAACTGATCAGGAACAGAATCAAATACTTTTAAGAGACAGCACTACCAAAACATATCTCTGCTTTAGTACCTCCCTCCAACTTAGTAACCAATACTGTTTTAAATGCTAAAGCTAACATTGTAGCTACACTAGGTAACCTTCCCACTAACTCGTACCGGTTGTACAAAATAGGCGTTATTTCATTATATCCATTGGTACCACATTTTGAAGCTGTCATGCTTGCTAATGCACTTCTACTGAGTTCTGGACACCCCATATCACATGTATTACATTTGCGTGAGGCTCTTTTATTTATCACAGAAAACAACTATTTTCGATTCAATGGCAAAATATACAAACAAGCCCAGGGTGTACCAGTGGGCTCCCCCTTGTCACCTATTTTAGCAGAACTCATCATGAGGAATATAGAAAATCGTATTTTCCATGCATCTTTAACAATCTACTAGCCTATCATGTATCTTCGATATGTTGATGATATTTTGCTTGCATGGAATGGCTCTGCAGAGGATTTAGACAAATTTATTCAAATGCTAGCTTCAATATATCCTTCTATCAATTTCACTGTAGAAGAGGAGCAAGAAAATACAATTTCCTTTTTAGAAATGCATAGATCTCCGGAGGTAACTTTTGCGGTGCACCACAAAAACAACAGAGGGTCAGATATTATCCCTGTAACTGCTTTCCAACCCCAAGCTTCGCTAACTCCGCTATTACTTCGCTTATTCGGAGAGCGCTCCTCATTCCATCCTCCCAGACATTAATTGATGAAGAATTACAAATTATCAAAAGAGCAATGCACAATGCCAGATATTCTAACTCCAAATATCGATATCTCTACAACCGGGTCATAAACAAATTATTTCCAAAATCTTTCCTCTGCAACAAAGAAAGCCTAAAGATAATAAACCCTCCAATACCGTACCTGGGCACCATCTCATTAAAAATAACATGTATATTCAGGAAGCATGATTTTATATTACCTATAACCCCTCAACTGTTACTACGAAGAACATTGTGCAACAATAGAGACATTCTCATGTTGAATGAAAAATCTGGGGTTTATAAAATTCTATTAAAACATACAATATCAGGGGAGGAAATTATCTATATTGGAGCTACCACCAGAATGATGCAGTCCCGCATCCTCGAACATCAAGAGGACATTAGAAATAACAGACCAGCTACAGAATTAGCGAAAAAGGTGCTAGACCAAGATTATCTTCCACTTTGGAACCATGTTAAATTACTTAAGCATTGCAATGATCGTAGGCAAATATTCATATGGGAAAACCTTTACATATCCACTGCTTTGCCATGTAATGTGACAACATTGGAAATACCACAGCTATGGATAACTTTATTTAAACAATCCAAGTTATAATTTTGTGTTCTGATTTTATTCCATTACCATGCACGGCACCATCAATCAATGTTTATGTGTTTTAGGGGGTTCAAGTTATTATAGCATGTTTCTTTAAAATTATTTATTTATTCAATTTTATTAATTTGTTCTATATTCCAACCATGTGCATTACGTAATTTGAAAAGTCCGTTAAAAGCTGTCAATTTGAAAACAAAGGTATTCGATTTCGCCTGAAGACAACAGTTGTAAACTGTTGAAAGTACTAGCGAGCACATCTGAAATTTAACAAATTGCTGTCAATAACGCCGCAACACAGAAGTGTCATATTTTTAACTTTTAAGAATTAAATCAGTTTTTGAGAATTGAGTTCTTGAGAACAAGCAATGAATGTAATTTGTAAAAACAATGAAAATAAGATAATACAGCGTGTTGCCAATTTCTTTTTTATGGAATAGCTAGTAACTAACTAGTACTAAGTATTCAGAATGACATTGATTAACATGTCTACATTAATACATAGACAGAATAACTTGGTCTCTGTATTACTGTAATACAATTAGAATTTTTAATACCAGCAGAGCCTAAGATACTAGTTCTTGGTACTCAGTTTGGCTTGTTCACTGTTGTGCCAGCTCATAAAGATTGCATGCAAGAAGTGTTCAAATAGCTAGCACAAGTTCTTGGGAACAATAGAAACTTTTAGCAATTTAATAATTCTCAATTCTTGCATTCATATACTCTTGTCTTTAGTCGTAATCACATTGGATTAGTACTTGATTGCTTGATGTTGGATTGTTTCAATTGGATTAATTTGGATTAAACCCTAGTAATAGAATTTTTTTTATGTATGTAAAAGTGATTTTGCTATGAAAAATGAATATAACTATGTGACATTTATCTGGTGTAGTTTAAAGATAAAGAAGGAAAAAATATTAAAATGTATGGTTCAAAATGGAAACCTAGCAGAATGGGAAAAAATAATGCAATAGTTTTATGATTACAATTTATACAGGTTTTCCTATATGTGTTTAGCTTAATCTAGCAAGAGTTGTTAGTGTAAAAAAATGAAAACAGATTGAATTTAAATTAATTTTCAAGAAATAATATAATCTTAGATGCAATTATTATTTTTTTTAGAATTATACCGAAGACATTTTTCTTCCTTTTTACTTTTTACTTGTTAGAAGAAGGAGGAAGCCATCTTCCCCACTCGTTAGAGTGACTATAAATGAAGCAGAAGTTTAAAAATATCACTAATTAGAGAGGGCATAACGTGATTACAACGAGAAGAATGATCGAAATGCTGAACGATGACAAATTATATCAGCAACATTTACCGTTTACTCTTTTTCTTCTTCTTCTTTTTTTTTTTAAGGAGGATCTTTAGGAATTCCAACAATAGCAAGACCGTGCTATTTCCCGAAATAACCGGAATTCCCCATCATTAATATAACGCATTAATCGTCTTTTTGGTTATAAGGACATGACGTTGCTCATCAATTTTGTTTTCTTTACTGAGGCAACGTTATGACGTGATCACAAATATAAAATAATGCTTAAGCTCATAGAAGGTAAGATATATTATTGGATAACACAACCGAACAATACATTTAGACCCTCTTAAAAATCTAAAATAGAAAAAAAAAGATAAGGAAATTTACCATTTATCAATATTTGTCGGTTAATATTTATGAAATTTAATGGGTTTATATTGTTTGATCATTCTTATCTTCGTGACGGGGAGAAAATACTTTCGTGTGTTTCCTTCCCTCCTCCCCTTTTTTGCTGTTTACTTTTCGATCCGGCGCATAAAAATAGCCATATACATACAAGGGTGTTTACTTCATACGATTTTTAAAGATGTAAAAATGATGATATACTGTATAAAAATAGGGAGCCCCGAAGCTAGATTCGTATTCGGTTGATCCTNATGTTTCATTTATAATGAATCTCTGGATTCAAAAATTGAGTATAAAGTAATTATAAAACATATACAGGATGGTCCATTTTAATCAGTTCTCTGGAATAACTCAAAAAATACACATTTTACAAAAAAACTTCATTGAATTAAAAATGTTAGACTTTAAAGGCCCAGAAGATGGGGCTATCAGTTTCATCGTAGATGATGCTACAGTAAGTGAAAATGGGGTCACTTTGTTTTCTTAAATGGGAATTCCTGTTCTTTAATCCATATTATTATTCTGCATTAAATTTTAATGAACTTTTATCTAAAACATTTTTTCAAAAAATGCACTTAGCAGAAGTTAGGAATGTTTGAAGTTTTATGCAGCCTTCATACCATGCATGCATGAAACTTCAGACATCTGTGAAGTTCACAAAAAGGAAGAATTCTTAAAAAAAGTTCAGAAATTAATATTATTTGATGAAATATAGATCAATGTACTCCCTTTATCACAAGCATGATGGCTTTAACATGCTGTGGCACTAGTTTTGTATCAGTTCAGTACTTAAAGAAAAGTAATGATTCCACCAAATATGGGAAATTCTCAACAGTTAGAAATTCAAGGGACGAAATAATCATGATGTTGAATTATCGAGTTTTGAATTATCTGAGATTATATATTTCTGTACAAGATGCCAAATGCTATGTAACTGATGTAATTTATTAAACAAATGGAATATGGCTAGGTTATACAGAATGGTATTTTTGTTAATTAATAATAATAATAATATAAATAAACTGCAGGTAAACAGCAAATGTTCAGAGAGAACCTTACAGGTTGCCAGATAGGTTTTATAAAAAATAAAGCAGAATTCTCGAAATGCAGTCCAAAGTAGTCAAAAAAGTTGCCCAAATCTAGTAGCCCAAAGCCCTTCAAGTATCTCAGTCTGCTACTTGTAGCCCAACTTTGCCCAGTCATATTGTTAGAACAATGATGAGACAGTCCTTTAACTTATAATTAAAGTTTATTCTAATCTAAGACTATATATACACTTTTTCACTCATCAATAACTTGGCGCACGACTGAACAATGGTTTTTCCCACCTCAAGCTGTCTTACATGGGGTGATGCCAGTTCATACATAGTTTGTGATATTCATTCTTGCTCTAGTTTAGTATTTTCCAACACATATTTTATGAGATAAGACAAAAAAAGAGTACTCCATGATTAAGATGACACCTGAAAATGTGTCACTGTAAAAGTAAAGCCATATTGACCAAATTAAAGTTGTTCTTGGTATATTGTTCTCTTATAGTATGGAAGGACTTCAATCTAAATGAGAGTTAACATATGGAACCCATATGTTAACACAGTTCAGACAGAAATTAATACTGTCTGAACTGTGCTTTGAATTTTGAAGTAACTATATTTCAAACTAATTGAATTCCTTAACGTGTAATTCTCTATATTTCCAGCCAGGACAAATTGTAGTTACGAACTACAGGTAACCCCCGTATAACACGGTAGTTACGTTCCAAAAAATTGCCGTGTTATGCGAATCCGTGTTATACAAAACAAAGAACTAATACGAAAAGAAGGGTTAGGTTTCAAAAATTAAAAAAACATACTAGTATATTTTCATAATTAAGATAAATATCTTCATTAAAATTTTTTAAGTGATACATATTAATATAAATTAAACAATGTTTTCTTCGTCATCACTAAAAACACTATTAATTAACCGAGAGCGTTTTCTTTTTGGCAAGTTATCCTTATCCTCTGAGCATTTTTCTGCATTATCTTCAGATCCATGCTTTACCTTTTGCAAAATGTATGTAACTTTAGATTGCTTGCTTCTAGTTAAAAGGTCTTTATAAATTTCCTTATATGGTGCTAAGCACTTATGAAGAATAAAGCAAGTATGGAATAAGGGAAAAACATTCGGCAACATTAGAAGCAGAAGTGTCGCGATCTGGCAACATTGAAACAAGTTTCGAGAAGGACCACGGGTATCGACAGAAGGCAAGAAGAGAAAGTTTACATACTTAAGTACTAATAGTTCACAAAAATAATAATTTTTGTGAACTATTATTACTTAAGTATGTAAAAATTTATTACATTTCCTGTTGTACGAGGGTTTTACCCAATTCTTGAACTGTGTCAGAGTGAATCCATGCTATAAAAGTACCGTGTTATACGGGGGATGGTACCAATTCTCGAACCGTGTTAGAGTGAATCCGTGCTATAGAAGTGCCGTGTTATATGGGGGTTATCTGTAATTGGATTTTGAACTATTCAAGTTCAAATTAACAAGGATTTCCTGTAATAGTAACTTTCTAAAAAATTCTTTTAGCAATTTTCTTCTTTTTTCAATAAAATTCACATATACCCTCAGATTCACTTGTGTATAGTGTGGTGGCTGCATAAAACTTCAAATGCTCATAACTTCTGTTAAGTGCATCTATTGAAAAAACATTCCAGAAAAAAGTTGTTTGTTTTTGATGTAGAATTGTAATATACAATAAAAAAAATGGAGATTTCCATTTAAGAAAGTGAAGTTGACAGTGGCGTAGCGTAGTGGGGGCAGCAAGGGCAGCACTTTTAGGGGGCGGAAAAATTTTATAATTAATAATAATAATATCTTGTAAAAATTTGAACCATTTCATTTCATATTTTTGTCGCATCTTGGACCAATTGAAATGAGCACGGAATTTTTCATTACTTATTCTGTGACAAAACTGAATTTTAGTCTTTTAAATTGAGATACCTAAATAAGGGGGTGGAAAAGTTTTCCTCCACCCCAGGTGGCTGACACCCACGCTGTCACTGGAAGTTGACCATGTTTACATTGATTGTAACACTATCTATGATGCAACCAATAGCCTGTCTTGTGGCACCCTTGAAGTCTAATATATTTGGTTTAACAATTTTTTTTTGTATGATGCGTGTTTTTTTGAGTTATTCTGATGGATAGATTAACCCCTTCTCAGTCAAATTTTTTTCATGGTTATCATCCAAAATTTCAAATTTTTCATTAATAGTTGATGTATAATTAATATTTATGAAGTAATTTTCAAAAAAATTAACACTTACATGTGTTTTTTGTCTAAAAGTAAAATAATTTTATTTATTCATAGTTTATATTATTTTATTAATAATTTTAATTATTTATTATTTATTTAATGGCTACTAATAATAATTATAAATAAAATAATTTTGATTATCTAAAAGAAAAACTACGAAAAACAATTTACATAGATGCTATCAGATTCCGAAAATAAACTATATTTTTCCACCAAAAATGGCAAAATAATTTTTGTAACATAATGCCATCTATTGGAGAAATAGTGAGATAAATATTTAACAATAGTAAATGCACCAGAGACATTAAAATAAATATTTCTAGAGCATTTTGCACAACAAATGAATGGGATGCGACAGTATGAAGGGTTAAAATATTTTCTTTAAAATAACAATAAGGAATAAAATCATCCCATATGAAAATTAAATTCCAATCTTTACAAATCCTGGTGTTCAAATATATAATTCTAAAATAATAAATATTTTAGTAGTTTTAAATAATTAAAATCAGTGATGCACTGGTTAATTGATAGACAATTCATAATTAGCAGAATTGACTCCTTGGCCAACTAATTGGTAAAACAAATGACTAATTATCATTTATTATTATTAATTATTACTTTCTGTTAAATTTAAGTCAGTTTATATAAGACAAATACTTCATCAGATAGTTCTGTTAATAATCTGAAACTGATAAATGAAAATATAAACATCTACAAGCCCAATTTTCAGATTAAAGCAAAATAATTGCCAGATTATATTTGGTTATATTACTTGAAATTTAATTAATAGTTAGTAGTGATGTTGAGGCCAAAGTTTTAAACATGAAAACGTGTACATCAGACGTCCAGAGCCACTTTCCTGTAAGCCTAGAAGTTTGACAATGGTGTTTGGATAGTCAGTGGAATCATGCTCGATATTCCAAACACTGTTGTCAAACTTCTAGGCTTACAGGAAAGTGGCTCTGGACGTATGACGTACACATTTTCATGTTTAAAACTTCGGCCTCAACCTCGCTAATAGCATTGATATAGCCCATGTAATTAGGCAATCATTTTGCTATATTCTGATAAAAGAAACATTTTCTGTATTTGACTACTATTATAGCCAAAGTAAATTAAAAATATATTAAATAATAATCTGCTTTACTGGAGTTCATTTTAATAAGTTTTTTTCAACTACTTTTGGACAGCCAAGCCCAACATTAGGAGATGCATGAGTGAATATACTGTAGTTAAGTCATTTAAGTTTGCACAACAATCAGATGTTACACAGTCTAAGACCATTCACACTCATAAATTTAAGCTTTTGTATTAAGCTTTAAATTTAAGCTTTTAAGCAGAGTAACGTTTTGAAGTTAAAAATCACACCTTTATCAATCCAGCAAATGATTTTTAATACCAAAAAAATCTTTTCAATCATTTTAAATGGTCTTCCTCAGTTATACCAAAATAGAACATTAAAAATCGTTAACTTCCTTGACATTTCCATCACCTGCAAGCAAGGGGAAATCTGGACCGATATATACCGGAAGCCCTGTTTTCAGCCTATTATTACCCACGACAATCCATCGATCCCAGGCACATCAAGTTAGCATCTTTCAGGGCTTGGATTAAACGTGCCTATACACATTGCACAAGCGTTTATGATACAATTAAGGAATTGGATTACATTCTTAAGGTAGCTGAACAGCAAGGTTACCGGAGACGCAAGGTAGAGAGGCTTATTACATCCTTCCAAACCACAAGACGACATTCTCTCAAGGTCGATCGAGGAAGAAGGATTGTGCTAAATTACATCCCATTTTTAAACAAAATACATAGAAATATTGCTGAAGCTAATAATCTTCAAATTGTATACCGACGTAATCCCACTGTTTACAAGCTTTTAATAAATGATAAAAAGAAAGAAGATCGGAATTCAATGGTGGGAGTTTATGAACAGGCATATGTTGTACAATGAACAGGCATAAATTGAAACATCTTGAGAAATTAGAAATCTTCAAAGCACAAATGAGAACTGGATGTATAAATCATAGACACAGACATGTTATCCACTGCTTGGAGAATAATTAAGAATTGTAGTATTATCTGTTATTAGATAATACTACAATTTGATTCACTTTTGTTGCTTTGGCCTTATTTATATCATTTATTTTATTATATTTAGTATGCATGCTCGTTTTTTCCATTTGAATTTTATATTTATTCCATAATTTCATTTATTTATTATATTTACTCCGCATGTGCATTTTTTTCTGTTTGAATTTTATATTTATTCCATGTTTTTATTTTATGTTCTTCGATTTTCAATGTTCTGTTTTGGTATAACTGAGGAAGATTGTTTAAAACGATTGAAAATGTTTTTGTGGTATTAAAAATCATTTGCTGGATTGATAAAGGTGTGATTTTTAACTTATTCACTATCCAGTATATAATTTATTTTATGTTAACATTTTGAATAAAATTCATTTATTTCCATGCAATTTTATCTTTATAAGCATAAAATTAAGTCGTAAAAGTGACTTAGTTCTATGAGAAACCCCATAAATTTTCACCTATCAACCTGGAAGTTTGAGAACCTTATTGATAACTAGAAAGGCTTAAGTTTAAAATTTGAACTTTCTAGACTTACTTGTTAGTAGTTTTTCTCTATGAGCATCTACAGTGCCAGATGAAGAAAAAAGAAGGGGAAGAAAATACAGCTTTTTTGGCAATTTTTGCACTTTTCAATCTAAATATATAAAATTACTTGTCTTGACTAACTGACTGACTTATTCACTGATTCATCATCACCCAGAGCAAACCGCTGAACCTAAAGAGGTGAAATTTGGTACACAGTTAGGGTACGTCATGGAAACGCACACTAAGAAGGGATTTTTCGAAATTCCCAAGCGGGGGGAGAGGGAGAGCATTAAGGCTTAACTGGAAGAATGGCTTCTACTGTACTATTTTAGATGCAATTTTTTGTTTTTAACTATGTCTTCATTAAGTACTTAGGTGTATTAAATTTATAACATTTCAGACATTGTTATAAATGTTTTTATATATTTCAATTTTTTAACCAAATGTTCGAACTGTTTTAAATTCAAATTTGTTATTGCACGTTGGTTCGATTATGGAACGATTGTAAACGTTCCAGAAAATTGATCAAATTGAAAATAGTTCATTTGATTTTGAGCAATTCTCATCATTCTCAGTGGTAGGTGTTATATAACAATTAATATGGTTGTTGAAATACTGAATATAAATGGGGTTTGCTTGCAAAACCTCCACGGGTGAAGTCGCGGGTAACAGTTAGTTGCTTATATTTCAACAACTACTTTATAGAAAATCTTGAAATTTTGTACACTACCTTCAAAGCCAATTGTTTTTCAAATGAGCTATTCAGAATTACTTCAGGTGTTTGTTTTTTACTTGATGGTGGGGAGTCACTGTCATGACTCCTGATATTTTAATTAGTGATGCACTAATAAGTATTTTGGCTAATTATCCGAGTACTAATTAACTGGCACTAAAAATTGGCTGATTACTTACTTAAATAAATAAATAAGAATTTTATATACCGTACTAAGGAGAGACTTTGCTCCCCCCTGCTTGCTTTGCCCACTTTCTTCAAATCAATATAGACTATTCATAACAATTCCTCAATTCCTACTGCTACTGTTTATATTTTTTTTATGATGACAAAAAGTGTAATAATTTTAAACTAAGTATTTTATATAGAAAGTCTAGATATAAATTAATTTTAAAAAATTAAAAAAATAAATCAGAAATTAATTCGTATTACACAATCAAAATTATTAAAATAAAAATTGAAAAATGGTAAATGGTACCAATTAAATTATAATTATTTATAAGCTTTGCACTTTGTTTAATTTTTAGAATAGTTCATTAACACCTGCTTCAGATTGAAGGTATGAACATTAAATCAAACATTCATCGAAAAAAGTTTTTTGAATTAACTCTTACTGGAAAATAATTTTGAAGGCTTTCGATTGAAGTGTTTACTATATCATTCCAGTTCAATAAGTGGTGTTTTATCTCTTTAAACAATAATTATGAGGAATTCAGAAAGAATTAGAGAATTAAAATATTTTGAAATAAATTTTAACCATATTAGATTAGGAAGTCTCCAAAATTCATAATTTTACTTAACTAACACATTTTAAAATTACAAAATGCTTTAAAACTTAAATATGTCAATTTTATAGTAGGGGTTTAGCCCAATCCCTTTTGAAACATTCTACAACATATTCCTTCTTGTTGCATTTTATAATTTTTCATCTAAACAATTAATACTAGTTTTAAAATTCTTATTTTGAAGTAATTTTTTAGTAGTGGGTAAGATAGTTAGGGATGAGAATTAAAATTATTAATAATAATTTTTCTAAACAGTGTATCAAAAGCATTGGTTGGTGATGCGTTCAGTTGGCAGTCACAGAGTGCCAACTGATCATATGTCTTGACATAATAATAATAATAATACAATTATTAAACAAAAACAATTGATATCCAAACAGAAACATCTGAGATGTAAAAAAATTATGCCAAGTAAAACTTTATGACAATTTAGACGACGATCAAAATTTTTCTTAGGAGTTTTTCTTTGGTAAAGATAAACTTGACACTTGGAAGCTGTACCCAGAAGATTTTTACCAGTGTTATTATTTTCTACATTTCACCTCAAAGCACCAAGCTTATCTTTAGCAAAGAAAAACTCCTAAGAAAAATTTTGATCATCATCTAAATTGTCATAAATTTTTACTTGATAATTTTTTTTACATCTCAGATGTTTTTGTTTAGATTATAACATTACAGTGAAACCTTGATTTAATGGACCAGTTTGAGCCATTGGTCTCCATTGAATAATAAAGTAAGTTTTTCAAATATGCGTGTTAAAAAATTGACATATTAGTTACTTTATCAGTTACTTTCATAGATACATTTGTGTAATTAAAATTAAATATATATAGGATTTCATAGAAAAGTATTCTATATGTATTATTGGTTATGTACTGTACTTGTAGTTCTGAGACTGTAATAAACAAGTAAATGATCTAAGTTGAAATAAATAAATAAATGTTTTTGTTTTTTTTTTGGAAAATATGCTTTAATTGTCACACAATACAGCTTGATTTTTATGCCAAATATCAGATTAAAGAAAAGAAAACACAGAGTGTGGCATTAACAGTTTTTTTTTATTTTTGCTTGTGCTTTCAATGAATTTATGTTCATCATCATCAGGCAAACGAAAATTTAAGAATAGAATACAATGTTCTAATGTAAGTGGAACACATATTATTTAAATTAAAATTAAAAACCATTATGAGCATGCTACAAAATTTTCATTCATCTGACAACGATGAACACAAGTTCATTGAAAGCACTAGCTAAAATAAAAAACTGTAAGGCTGCACTCAATGTGTTTTCCTTCCTTTTACACTTTAATTGTATTTGACTAAACAAATAAATAATGCTTTTAAAACTATTAGATTTGAAAAAATAAATAACTGATAATTTAATTACATATGATAAACCAGCAATGAGTTGCTCAGCTATCCTGGCAACATTTAAAATTTTGGTGGTGCCATCTGTTATCATATGTTATTTAAAAAACTTTTTATATTTTAAACTATTATAAAATGGCAAAAAGCTTAATTTTGAGGGTATTCCAGGAATGAGTTTTATAAAAAATTGTAAATGCTAATAACAAGTAAAATCATCAAGTTCGACCCTATACAATCCCAATTATCTCCTCACTCTCTTGACCTTTAACCACCAAAATTTAATAGCATCAATCCCTCTAATAAACAAATCTCCCTGCAAAATTTTGGAAATTTACGACAAAAAGCACAGGCATTATTAAGCTTCAAAGAGGGTGAACAAAATTGTGTCCCCCACACACACTAACATCCATACATACAGAAATTACCCCTGAATTTTTTTGCATTTCTCAACATTTCAGGGTATCCTAAGTTCAAAAATGTAAAAATCTAGGAGGGACCTTTTTTTTTTTGCCAGATCACCATACTTTCCTTCTGTTATAACAGCTGCGAAAGTAAAATGCATATTAAAGTTAACAAGGTGTTAACTTTCACATAGGACATACTGATCAGAAATTTTGCCCATGAAATCAAGGTTTCACTGTAATTTTGTTTATACAGGGTATGCTAATTACTATTATAAATTTTCTAATATAAGTTGGTAATTATAAAACAACTTAACTACTTTCAGTCAGGTGCTTGGATAATGATGGTGATAAATAACTGATAAATAGAAATTATTAGTTAATTGTTTATTGGTATCTTTTTCAATTTTCCATTCTTTTTTTCTCTTTAAGTGTCAAAAAATAGTTCAGTCGTCTTTTACAACTATAAATTTATGTTGGTATGACAAGATTTGTTAATCTGTCACAAATAAACCACTTTTAGACATAATGAATATTCCTAAAACATTTCATCTCAGAAAAGTTTGGAGATTAGATGAATTAAATAATCATATTCTTATGTGAAAGTAAGACTTACTAAAATGTTTGTAACCAACTTTTCTTTTCAGTTTGCATTTGGATTGTGATGAATATAGATTTAAATTACAAAATGTAACTTTTATATTTCTTTCCTAGGGTAGAACCACACTGCTGGCCAAAAGTTTTTAGAACATATGTATCTCAAGAACAAGTTATTTTTGAAATTGATTTTTTGTGTTGTTAGTTAATTTATTATTATAAATATGCCAACAGAATTTCAAAGTGAGATGTGTTGGAATTTGATATTTATTCCATTTTTTTAAAAAATCAAGTGGACAAAAGTTTTTAGAACAGTTTTACTTCCCTAAAGATACAGAAAATTGTACATACTAAGTTAATAATTAATAACTTGTTGCACTGCCTTTTTCTCTGCAGCATTTAACAACCTATAAATCAATTTGATTTATAAATTTTATTTACAATAACATTTTCATCAGAATTATCAGCACAATGTTGAATTACGCACTTCAACTCTTCCTGAGAGTTAAACTGTCCATGTTCATAAATTTTTTGTTCCATTAAATGTCAGACATTTTCTATAAAGTCCAAGTCAGGACAATGAACTCGCTAATTAATTATGGAATTTTTCTATTGAAAGTAATGCCTAACTATGCCAACTGTATGGATTGCAGCATTATCTTGCTGTCAAAACCATTTCCCCTGCAAAAAATTTTCACCAAAGGTAGAAATGTTTTCAGATCATTCAGATACTTCATGGCATTATATTTTCCCTCAGTGAATTTGATTATCAATTTTCTCCAACTATTTACGGCACCCGGAATCATTATGGAGCCACTCCTTACTGGCATTTTTTATGATGAGGTCCTACCATAATTCCTTTAGTTTTCTCAAAAGAAGACTTTATATTATCTCAACCCTCCAAACAAAAATGTTTTTCATCACTAAATGTAACTAAATTAAAATTGTAATGTTCTCTGATATGTTTTTTTTTTTTTTTTTTTTTTTTATTNTTGGGCTATTATTATATTGTTATTACTTTAATAAATAATTAATTTAAAATAATTGCAATAAAATAGCCTGATATAATCCAGTAGTTGTTAGCCTATTACATATATACAATACATTGGGTTTGTAGATGTTGGTTTAAGTATACATCTACTTTTAGATTACCTGTGCTATCTTTCTTATGATGAATCCTGTAGCGGATAATTGGAGAATCTTTTGTTTATTTCTTTCAATAAAGTCATTTTAGAATAAAAAATATTTAATTCAAAGCAAATATATCTTATAATAATATCAAAAACAGACAAATTAACATTAAATACAACAGAATAAACAAAAAGTTTCAAGTGTTTTAAAAACTTTTGTTCACTTCAGTTTTTTAGACAAATGGAATAAATTTAAATTTGAACATGCCTCACTTTAGAATTTTGCCATCTAACTTATAATAATAAATTAACATGTAGTCCAAAAAACAAATTTCAAAAAATAAATCATTCTTGAGATACAAGTGTTCTAAAAACTTTTGGCCGGCAATGTAACTATGGCAAATTGAATAAGGATTTATAAAATAAGCTATTAAAAAGTATTATATAAAAACTAGTCTTTTTGCATTGTAAAATGCTCATTTCAATTAACAGTTAACACAGACTAGGAGTAAGTTCTTGTGAATGCCTGTGTAGATTGGAATTTTTTGGTTATTTTCCAAAAAAATCATTAAAAAACCAATTATATTTATGTTGTGTTATTTTGGATTTGTTTCTTTGTGCTTTTGTTAACATGAAACAATTAACAGAATGACTGTTAAAAAGAAAAAATATTTTAAAAATTAGAATAAAATGTCCTTTTTTTAAATTAAAGAAAGTCTGATATAATAGTATGCTGTTTATATTGATAGAGTTTAGATCAGATTTATTTTTCTTTGGTTTTGGCATCAAATCTATGTATTTCTGACCTTAGATTATCATTTATTAAATGCAAACCTTCATTGGTCAATAACCTTCTGTACACATCCTTTTTACAAAACATCAAAATATTAAACAATGTGTGCCACTTATTGGTGGAAATGATAATTTTTTCATTAATACTTCCTACATCAATTATAGACGAGTCTAAGTTATCCACCTCTATAGAATAACATGTAAAACTTAACAAGTGAGACTCATCAGTTGTAGAGGAAAACATTGTCTTTTCGCATAATGTACTTTAATAACTTTGTAAACAACAACTAGGTGGAATAACTTGTGTTTCTTCTCATATAATTTTCATGCATGGCAACTGCTGTGCATTTTCCATTAGCACCTCAACATTGTTATCTTTGCAGTAATGCCTCAACAGAGAAGTATGGACTGGCAGTGCATCTTCTTTGGCAACAAATCTTAGTTCTGTCTGGGAATGCATGACCACCATGTTAGTGTGTGGACAACCACAGATGACTGCTTCAATTCCACTTTTACTGTTGTGGAGCATACTGTTTTTGTTACTGGTGTGCTTGTCTGAAGAGTCATCTCGTATGACAGTTGGTCACTTCTTGATCAGTTGTTTTTAAACTTTTTGTATGTTGGCCCCCTGTGGACAACAGTTACAACTTTCACCTTCTGTGTACAATGTACTCCATAACTCTTGTTCCATTGATTATATTTGTTTAATTTTCCTTCTACACAGTATTTTTTATTTTCAATTTTTTCATATTATATAATAATAATATCACAAAAAAAGTTGTGCTAGTACTTCTGACATTGTATTAATTTCATCATTCAGAAGAAGAAGAATGTTTATGGAACATAGAACACATCCATATTTAATATTATCACATTATGCCCAAAATAATTTTATTTAATGAAAATGTTGCTTTTGTTTTTGGCCCTGAGGTTATCCCACAACTTTCCAGGGAACTGTGGCCTCCTACTTTAACTTTTTTATAAACTGGCAGCATGCAGGCCAGATATGGTTTATTAAGGCTTCATATCTGGTCTGTGGTCTTGATGATTTATTTTCTAAAAACACTGTTTCTAACATCGTGCAAGGATTAAACAGAAAAAACAGCTGTTATGCATCTTTTTGACTGGCCCTTTGCTGCATTTGAATTTGAGAACCTTGCTCTAGACTCTAGTAATGGTGTGCAGGACTTTGTCAGCAAAGCAGCATTTAGCCTTATCTTACCTTTTATAGAAGTGATGTAAACAGGCATTTTCCAATAATATAATGCTTGCCACACAGCTAAGTTTTCCAGGAATGTCTGCCATATTGCCATACTTCCTTGATGTGCCCAATCTCCAGATATGTTATCCACTGAGCATTTGTGGGTCCATGAGATGCCAGCTTTGACTACCTACAAGTATGGGGGATCTGGAGTGGCACTTGCAACGTATATGGGTAAATCAGTCACAGGATAGCATATAATGCCTGTAAGCCTCCTTACCTGATTGCATTGTTGTATGTATCCAGGCAAGATAGGTTTTAGAAGGTACTAAAGGTTATTTAAATTGTATGACTCCACAGGAAATTATCCCTTTGCTATGATTATTGTAATCATTTATTATTATGCTCACATTAATAAAGTTTCATTTGATTCCAAATGCTTTCTTCCTGTTGCATAACTTTTTTTGTTAATGAATATAAATTATATAAAAAGAAGACAGTTTGCTACTCAGATAAAAAAAATACCATATTTACTTGCATATAAGACAAGGTTTTCATTCATTTTTCACTGCCACAAAAACCTAAGTCGTCCTATACATGCAAGCGAATTCTTTGCGTTGTGGCCAGCCTGGCAACACTTCAACACATCTCCACATAGTCTTTGTTATCTCTCAAGTTTATTCTTATCTCATGCATTGTACTAGTGCAGTCCTTGTACCCCAATTCCAAATAAAATTATTTTATTTTTTTAAGATCTGTGATTATTTGGTCTAAAACCCAAAGTGTTTTTGCAATAATTTCTGTGAACCGTGTATAGTTCATGCTGCCATTATAGGTCTACAGTCTATTTATCATAAGTTGTTACCCACTGTAAACAAATTAAGACATCTCCCCTTTGTTTATTGGTTAATTGTGTTGCATCTTATTCATTTGCAGAAAATAGTTCTTTTTCCAGCCATGCCCATTATAATGTTTTGGTTTTTTTCCCATTCATCATGTATTAAGGCAAACATGGATTTGATAATATTTTATTTATGAAATAAAATTAGAATGGTATTAATAAATTTAATTGTCTTTATTTTGACTTCTAAACTCACATCTTGTCCTATATGTGAGATCATCTTATACACGAGTAAATACGGTATACAAAGTTTGGAATTATACTCAACTGGAAATAATACTGCTATAAACAATACAAAATACAAATCTTTAAAACTAGCAAAAAACTTTTAATACATTAGAGTCTGCTTATTGTAATTATTTTGACATATATTATATAATAACTAGCAGGTGGGCCCGGCGTTGCTCGGGCAAAAGTAACGATAACTAACATAAAGATTATTACGTTACAGTCAACCTTACCCGTTTTCACAGAATGCAAGAATTGGGTCCCCTTGTTTCCAGACTAATTAGAGAATTTTTAGATGGGTCTAAAAATATGTTCGATTTCCTGCAAAAATGAAAAAAACTGCATCTGCGTATTGCACGTCGCTTTCTCTTAACAATTCCATTGTTACGTAACATTTCCATTGTTGACACTTCCATTGTTACTTAAAACTTCCATTGTTGATGGAAGTGTTAAGCCTTAATTTTGTCCCTCTCCCCCATAGAAAGGAATTTCGAAAAATCCCTTCTTAGTGTGCGTTTTCATGACGTACCCTATCTGTGTTCCAAATTTCAACTTTCAACTCCTAACCGTTTGGGCTCTGCGCTTATTATTATTATTATCATCAACCCGTCTCGATTATATATTAGATATTGTCATAATTAATTATTATTATGAAAGTGATATGTAATGTACTCATCTTATACTGATGCCTAGTACTATGCCAGACCAAGGTCTGGCATAGTACATAGTTATTTGATGTGCTTGGTATTTGTATGCTTGTGTGGCATTTAATTTTGTAAATTTATATTTAGTGAGAGTTTTTTGAATGAATTTGTGAGTGTGTTAATTAATTCTGTATCTATAGTGTCATTGGCTATGATTATTGTGTTTGGTGTTTTTATTGGTTCATGTTATACTGTATACATTTTTATGAGTGACAATTCCATTTCATGGATCGTAACCATGATACCTTTTTTATTGTTTGTATTATGTCTTCTTTGGTCTTCCTTTAGCTCTTTTGCCATTAATTATTAGATTTTTAGTTTTTTAGCTTGATATCATTTTCTGATCTTCATTTGTTATTTCCAGATGAATGCATTTGACTCTCTCACATTTTTCTTGAATGGATTCAGGATTACTTTCAAACTTCCTGTTATATAGATGTTTGTTATTTTATCTTTTCTTATGACTCTACTCATTACAGTTATATGCATTTTCCATTTTGTTTCTCTCTAACAGCATAAGTGCTGTGATCTTATAATACTTCTATTCAAAAAACATAAAAACTTAGTCTTCTTATGTATAAATATAAATAGATAATAAACTGATTTTTTGCATGTTTCAAGTATTTAGCTGTATATGTAAAACAAATGTATTCAGTCTCGTTCAGGGGCCAGTGTCAGACTTTTTATTGAAGATTTTTATAGCCGAACGTCTCAATTTAGAACACTTTTTTTTTAAAGAAAAACATTCTGGAACAAATTTTATTTAAATTCACTAAACTGCCCATTTTTCAATTACGTCATTAACCAACATCATTAACATCCAAACACTTAACAATTTAATGCCTCACAATAAATTGTCATAGAAAATTATAAATTATGGCTCATATATAATAAATTTAAAATATTGTAGAACATATGACTGTTTACATATACAGTATATTTTCCTAAAACATATCTCCGTGTCTAGGATTGTCTAAAACCACTTTCCATGCATTGGAAATTATTTTAGTGTCTTTACTGTTTAAGCATTTTCCGTGTTGCAAGCTTAAATTTCCTGTCTCCAGTGTTCTCAGCTTATCTGCATTTAATATATACTTAATTAGTCTGGCCTCTTCCCATAGTATCCATGTAATGACATAATTGAAAAAAACAGACTGTTTAGTGAATTTAAATAGAACTCATTCCAGAATGATTTTCTTTCAAAAATGTGTTCCAAATTGAGAAGTTTGGCAAAAAAATTTTTGATAAAAAGTCTGACACTGGCCCCTGAACAACACCGAAAATGTTTGCTGTATGTATATAGCAAAATTGCTAGAAACTTGCAGAAAGTTCAGTTAATTAACTATTTACTTCTATAAAATATTCTTTTTAATTTGGCAAGCATTCTTCTATCACATAACAGTTTGTTTACCTCCAAATCTCCCAATCAATTAGTATTCTATTTGTTACATTTTTCCTCAATCTACAAATTGGATTCTAGGTCTAGTTTCTTTGTTATGTCATACATTTTGATTTTGAATGAAGTCACAATGGATATATATTGTCTATGTTCTACTAATCTTAATTATAATTATATACTATCACATTTTGAACTTAATTTTAATCCCCCTCTTTGCATTCTTATTAGAGATCGTGGTTATCTTATAATATACATAATGAAATTGTTGAGTAATTTATAGAATGATGATAGTTTTATTTACCAATAAACATTGTAAATTGCTTATTTAAGGACAATTACAAGTAAATATAATCTCTGATGTTTCAACAAGGTGATTTAGAATACATCACAGTTAGAACTGTAGACATTATGTGTTATAGAGAAAATTAGATATGAATGCTTTATTGTTTATATGTACTAAGCAGTTATTAATAAATTAATGTTAGCTTTAATATTAATACTCTTTGAGACTGGATAAAATAAATTATCATATGATAATGGTAATACACAATTGTAAAATAATATTACTTTAAAATTAGTATATAAATGGAATGAGTTTATTTTAGATTCAGATTGTTTACTGGTCATCTGTTTTTATCCTGACTTCTAAACTTATTAATTTAATTCAATTAATAAATTAATAACTTCTAAACTTATTAATTTAATTCAATTAATAAGTTTAGAAGATTATTAAAGTGAGATGGCAACATTTTTACCTTTAATAGAAGTTATTTTAATCATTAGCAAATTTACAGTACAGTAGAGCATCAATTATCTGACCCCCGATTAACCGTCGCATCAGTTAACCGACCGTTCTAGTAAGCAAATTTCAAATGTCCACTAGTGATGTGGCATTACAATATTTGGCTATGTCTTGGCTACTTTAATATTATTTTTGTTAAATTTTTGCGTGTTTTAGCTGGCATCAACGGCTCGACCATTGAAGGGAGGCCAATATTTAAACGAGACTTAATTGTCTAATTATGAGTGGTTGTTTGTTTTGTGAGCAATAAAATAATTTAAAAATAATTTTTAACGATACAATAGGGATGATTATTATGCTAGAAAAATATTTGTTAGGCTAAACATCAATGAAAATTCAACGCAAAGTTGGTTAATAGTGATATACTAATAAACTAATTACATGGGATTTACTAATATCCTAATATACTATACTAATAATGTATTTTTTCCTTCTTTTCGGTTATCTGATTTTTTCAGTTAACCTGAGTCCCCAATTGAGTCGGATAATCGATGTTCTACTGTATTAGTTTAATTATTTTTAAAGTAAAAATAATTGGGATAATCTGTTATGAATTCATTTGTATATAGATAAAGATATGCAAATATGTAAATTTGATGATAGTGAAATATTATAATTTAATATAATGAAAATCTATAACAAAAATTTATTAAAATTATAATTATTTTCTTTTTAGCCTTGAAACAAAATGGGAAAAAGAAAATCTTCCAATCCAAGAAAAGTTATTGGTGTTCTTACTGCAGAAGAAGAGGAAGAGGAAGAAAGATTCTTAAGCATACTCAGCAAGGAACATGATGATGATTATGAAGATCAGTTGCTGTATTATGCATATAACATTGATGATGATGATGAATTACCAGATGATGGACATTCTGTATTTGATATGGAAGTTGACAATGTCTCTGATGAGATTGCTGATGGACATGGATTTATTCCAAATATTTTTGACAGAAGAGAAAATGATACTTTTAGTAATGATTCTTTGGGAGATGGTGGTAGTTCCAGTGATCCTGAATATCTTCCAAATCGTCAAAGTCAGGGAAAAGGAAGAAGAAGAAATCGTCTTGCACAAAGACAAAATTTTTCAAAATTAGTTAGAACACCTCCAATATTTAATAATATGTCTCCTCCAAGTGGATTACATTTAATTAATAGAACTGCTGACATTGTTTCTGCTTACAGTTCACCAGCTGGTGGAAGTAGTGGAGAAAGTGCTTGTGGTACTAGATATATGGTTAGAAGACATTATGTAACATACCCTCCCACATTTAAATTAGCTGTAGTTAACTATGCAGAAAAAAATGGAATTAGTGCAGCATCTGCAAAATATGAAATTGATCAACCAAAAGTTACACTCTGGTGTAAAGTAAAAGATAATATAATAAGGAGGATTATTAAAAAGGGATTAGATAAGAATCTTGCATCTGGAGAAACTGAAGATTCTAATAGTCAAGATCATCAGGTTTCTTCATCTTCTGATATTGCAGTTACAGACAATATAGATGATTTAAAAAATATAACTTTAACAAATTCCAGGGAAAAATTTTGTTGCAAAATGAAAGAACTTACATCTCAAGAAATATCATTCCAAGAAGATAAAACATCAAGTTGGGAAATTGATGTTTTTGTAATAATCAGAAAACAGTTAATTGAAGGGAATGAAGTAAAAGTAAAAGATCTTGTTGAGAAAATGAAAGAAATGCATCCTTCAATTACTTATAAAGATGGTTCAGAATTACCTCAAGTTTTAATTATAGAGTGGTGTCGAAAATTTGGTGTTCATTTTATTACGGAAGACTACTGTAAAACATGTGGAATTCCTGAGGTAAATATGTAGAATAACTATAAAAAAAATTCCATACAATTCAAAAATATTTGAGCAGAGCAAATACAGTGTCATCTTAGAAACCTACAAGAACTTCTGAGTGTATGTTTATTTGAGACAAGTTGATTTGATGACTAAAACTATAATAATCATAAAGTGATGGTTGTGAGATGATATTTGCTTTGTTAAGACATTTTAAAAGTTATAATTCAGTGTTCTCCCTGGAGGCCTTTTTTTGCCATGCACACACACCAGATGATATTTCTCACCATTTGACTGATAACCTTCATGAGAAATATATATATAAACATACAAAAGGCTTGACTTTCTTGTGTTCCTTGAGTATAGTTCAGTCTCAATTTTTAACATATGTTCACTAGATCACATTCAAAATTTGAACAAATATATGCTCTTTTGAATGGATCAATTAACACCTCTATGCAAATATAAGATTATTTTAACACATTAATGAATATCTTTAACCATACTTTTACATGTCTACAGTAGGTATGTTTTAAAAAAAGTATTTATGTTGACATGGAAAATGCTTAATCAAAAATTAATAAAAATTCTTAAATAAGCAACATAAAAAACAAGAAATGGCCAAAATAATGATAACAGTCCAAAACAACAGGATCACTGATTTTCAAACTAGGACGTCAAACCTTGTTTAAGACAACAACATTATATGAGAGAGTGTTTACCTGGCAGCTTTAATCAACCAACTGGCAAAAAAAAATTCTGGGGAGAACACTAATTGTTATATAACACTTCCACACACATGTATATATATGTACATATATATAGGTGTGTGTATGTATAAAATTTTTAATCTTGATAATTATCTATTCCTCATATATAGGAATTTTGGTTCTTTTTGGTTAATGGGATGCCAGACTATTGTGAAAGACTACTGCATTTAACAATTTAGCTCAGTTGACTGTTCGTGGAGTACTTGATGTTGTATAGTTCTAGGGGTGTGGGAGCTTGCCCCCACCTGAGTGCTGAGGTGTGAGCAATAGTGAGCACTGAGACGTACAGCTACATGCAAAGCATGTAGAAAAGGCAGTAGGTTGATAGGTGTTAAAAACTGACCTTTAAAGAAGAATATTTTGCAAAGGGTCAACAATTCTGAGGGTGGTGTGAAACCCCTCATTCAGTGCTTGAATCTTACATGTTGCTGTACATATTGGCTGATGTCCTGTTAACCAAAAAGTACTGGAAGTTTTAATAATGTTTACAAGATAGCTTATTTTATCAAACATCTAATTAATTAAAAAGTAATCAGCAATATTCTAGAATTCAAAATAATAATTTAGTGATTAAAAGTTTTTAGAAATTTATTATCTTCAAAACTCTTATGTGATTTTTGTCACAAAATTTCTTCTAATTTAAACTATAGTTGTATTTCTGGCATTTAATGTTAAACATTAGGAAGATTTTTCTCTGTCAATTGCCTCTATCAATTTAGAACAAGAATTTAAATACAGTAGAACCCAATTATCTGAGGTAATGCAGATTGATGCTACCTTGGATAACTGAAAACTTGGATAAAATGGCCACAGTCATTTTGCAATAAAAATTGTGATTATAAAAGATTTATACAATCTGACTTTTAAATCTCTCTCTACACTGTAGTGAATTTAATCATATATAAAACAACTTTTTTTACATCATTTATAAGGCTGATACATAGAATAGCTTTAAGAAAAAAAATGTATATTATTTCAGTTGTGTTTTAATATGAAAGGTTTTGTGTTATATTGAAGTTAAATGATAAGAAGTAACAGAAACAAATCAATTTGTAATGCATGTTGTCATTCTAAATTTTTAAAAAGTCATTTAGAGTTTATTTTGTAGTTGTTTCTCACTTCTTTGCTGCAATATTCTACAGTCACCTCAGCATCAATTTCATGATGAGAAAAGTAGTTTTAACTTACAGATTTGCCTCAGGTAATGAGGAACCTCATTATCTGTTTACAATAATCAGGGCTTGGTTAATCAGAGCTTTTCTGTATATAAAAAATAAGTTGTTTGTCTCTTAAGTATTCTTAAATAATTTATAATTATTTTCTACATAAAGTTCTTTGTCTTATTTCCAACTAATAGATCTACATTGATAAGATATCAAGAGATGTATTCCAAAATAACTATTATTTTTTAAAGCAAGATAATATACTAATTATTTAGTTTAGCTAAACATTTATAGGTAAAACCTGCTATTAATTCTATTATCCATATAAGATAAATGTTGATAAATTATAAGGATAATTGGAATGTTACAAAGTCAGCTGCTGTTATAAAGTCTTGCTCAGTAAAAAATATTGTTAACAATTATATAATACCACTAGTTAAATGCTTTATATCTGCAATAGTTATATCAGAGCTCTTAACATATAATTTTGAAAAAAAAAGCTGGTATTTGCTCCAAAAATGTGACAACCAAAAGTTTTTAGTACAATAAAAATAAAAACCATTCAACTATCCAGCATAATTCTTTAATACAGTAATACCCCGAACTTACGCGATAGGTGGGACCAAGCGATGACCAGAACCGTGTTAGAGCGAATCCGTGCTATAGAAGTGCCGTGTTATACGGGGGTTACCTGTACAAGGTGTTTCTAGTACAAGGTGTACAAATGTGATGCTCTTATATAATAATTTTTTATTTTATTGCACCTATTTTGTACCTCTGATCATTTTAAATTTGTTATACTAACACAAAAATGTAGAACAGCAATTCCCAATATGGGGTCATGAATTCAAATGGAATCACCAATTCTTATGTGGTCATAGGTATACATTTTCATAAACATTATTTCTCTACTTAAAAAAATTTTTAAAAGCTATTTTTCTTTGACAGAAAAAATATAGACAACACCTGATTGTCAATAACAATCAACAAAAAAGAGGCTAATAGATTTGTATGTGTTTATTAACAATAACATTCAAATTTAAAAGAGAAAAGAAATATGTTGCAGAACTTTTAAATATAGATTCCAGCATAACTGCTACTTACTGGATAATAACACAAAAAACAGCTTAAATCTTACTAAATCCAGAACAAAAATTTAATTGGGCTGCAATTTGAAAAAATTGTAGACCTATAAATTCCCACTGTTGTCCATCTGTCTTTCCTTAATCTTGAGAATGATGTTAGATAAATCAAATTCAAGAACAGATATGAAAAGCTTAGGGGCAGGAGGTCCTGATTAACTATATATGAATTGATGAAAACTAGAAGTCGCGTTAATTCAATTAAAAAATTTCTCCTGAAAAGTGCTAGATAGATGACCAGCATGACTCCATTGCTAATGGAAAAGTACAGGGGCAAGACATTACAGTACTGATTTGAGGTGGAGAGCTTATATTTTAAATTAAATAAATTAAAAATATGATTAAAAATTGCAGCCCAGCATTGTGACGTCACAATAAATAATTGCTCATTTAATATTGAAAACATTTTGACTAACATTTTCAATCAATACTGATCTTCATCAGGTCATTAATATAATATAAAACTAACATATATTACATAATTGACATACAATAAGTTTTTTTTTTAACTTAGAGAAGTTTTGTTGACAAAATATTACTATACAACTCATGTATTACTAGAAAGAATTAGTAAATAAAATGCACTTCAAAACAGATGAACTGTCCAGAATGACATTAACATTGGATGAAACCATTCTATTGTAAGAAATGTTGCCAGGCATACAAAAGATTATGTCCCTCTTTATAATTTATGCATCTGACCTTGCTTTCAGTTTTCTAAATCTTCACAGTTACAGAAAAACCTAATAAGGAAGTTTGCTAAATTCTTTTCCAACTCTGCATCCCAGCACACCATACAGAATTTCCAGGGAGCTTCAAAGTAGGCCAAATAGAAACCTCCAATGCAGGGTTTCTATTTGGCCTACTTTGGTGAGGGATAATAGATTCAAAACAGAGCTGGAATACATTGTTTTCATTAAATGCACATTATGTAAGAGGCTGATGGAATATCAGTTTGATATAAAACATGGTAAACACACCACTTTATTTAAGTAAAATTTATGAATTTAATTTAAATAGAAGCATGAAATATTTTGTATGATATAGAAATGACATAGCTAATTACATGATTGATTTTATATAAAGTTTTCATTTTTTGTAAGAAGTGAATGAAGTGTTTTTTTAATGAATAATTTATATAATTATGTGCAAAATGGGCTTAAATAGACTTTGTTGAATATTATATAATGGAAAGGGAAAATGCAGAGACCTTAATAGGTCAAGGAATAATGTCATAATTTGTCAGGAAATATCAAGAAATCACAGATGGAATTACCTGTATGGAGCCGCTGATAGTAGTGCTTTAAAATTTTTAATCATGCCTTGATCCATTGGTTGAAGTACTGACATCATATTGAGGAAGAAACATAACCTTTACATTTTCCATCAGAGGAATGGTATTCTGTTCTATACAGTTGTCAATAAGCAACAGGATTTTTAAAATTTTTTTTATCAATTTTTAAAGGCCATTTTTTAAACATTTCATTTGTCTTCATGCTTTTGTGCCTGATTGATATTTCACTGACTTAGTTTTATATTTTTTGAAGCATTGTTTGTTTGACTTTTCAACTTATTTCCAATCATTAACAAAGATAATTTTTCAGATCCAACCATGTTTGCATTAGCTAAAACAACCAACATCCTTACCTTGTTATGTTTAGTGCCACTGCAATGTTTACCTTTGAAAACCAATGTTTTGTCTGGAATATACTTATAAAACAATTAAGTTTCACCAACATCAAAAATGTTCTTGACACCTCTGTCTTGAATCATTTTTGCCAAATCACTTTTTTACCTATCAGCCACCTATAGATCAATAGCTCCAGTTTCCCCACAAACAGTTTTGAAATAAATGCTATTTATTTCCTTAGATTTATAAAGCCATCTAGTGTTGCCTTTAACAGTGTTTCTCAAACTATGGGTTGCATTAAAATTTTAATGAGTCACAAAATGATACTACCTTCTGCAGAAAAACTTGTTAATAGTTGTATTACTGAAATATTCTCTAAGAACTATGTACAGTAGATACATCTGCTAAGTACTGAAAACTTTTAACAACTTACTTTCTTATAATTATTATTGTCATAAAGTTAAGAATTCTGATGCTTTTGATCCAATTAGGATCTGCATCTATTTATTTTTTATAATTTATCACAGATTCTAATTGGATTGAGATCAAGATGCAGATCCTAATTAGATAGAAAATGTTTGTCACAACCTATTTATTTAAAATATATTTTTGTGCTGGTATTTTTTGAAGGTTTTATGATGTTATTTAATAATCATAAAGTTAAGATTATGGAATACAGTAGACCCCCCCTATAAAACGGGTTCATATAATGCAGATTTTTATATAGCGGCGAAAAAATTGCAACCGTATTTATATAAACACACTAAAAGAAACTTGTAAAATACAGTAAAACATCATTGCTGACTCGTGTCGCGACAGGATTGGTTAAATCTAGACCAATAGCGGATATTGCGCAAACTGTTGAGTTTAAACGAGCAGCGGACCTACCAAAAACCATTTATTATTTAACGGCCATAAAAATTATATTTATATTAATGATGTCTCCAAAGTTCAGCAAATTTTTCGCAGAAAAATAATTTATCAGGAAACATGCGCCTGCCATTCGATGTGCTGCTCCACTGCGTAAACAAGCTTAAGCAATGGCATCATCGAACAGTGCGCACTCAGTAAGTAATCCTACAATTTTTTGTTTATAGCATAGTTTATATGGATTATTCCCAAAAAATTATGTGTGTTTTGGAAATGTTGAGTCGAATTAGTCTAGAATCAATTAATTTTATGGAAGAAAACTTTTCAAACAGCCATAGTCCATAAACTGCACACATGTTGGGCTGTGATTGGCTCATGTATTTAAGGACTAGTAGAACATGAATTTCATAAAAAGCGGAATGTATCTACCATGTTATAGGGGGGTTGACTGTATGTGTATATGAAATTGTTTTTTCTTTTCTGTTTTGAATAACATCAAAATAGAAATCATTATGTGTAAGCTTGTAGTCATAAAACTATTTAAGTTGTAATGGTTTTGAAATTATTTCCTTGTTTATTCAAACTTTTAGGTTTATTGTCATACATAACATTAAATTATAAAAAATAAATAACAGATAAATTTTAGCTCAAATGGGCCAATAAATGATTTTTTTTTTATTTTGTGTATATACAAAGTGAAATTGACAAAATCTTACAATTTAAAAAGTACATTTTAAAAAAGGTTATTTAAAAAAAAACTTAGATTATTTTTTGAAGTAAAATAAATTCCTGAGTTATTTTGAAACAGTCTGTTTTATTTACAATCATCAGTCTTATATTTTTAATAGTTAAATTTCAATAATAAAAAATCCAGCAACGAGTTGCTTAACTTTCTCAGCAACATTTAAAATTGTGTGGGGTCACCATCTGTTAGGATATTTTATTAAAACCTTTTTGTGTTTTTAATTATTAGAAAATGGCAAAATGCTTAATTTTGAGAGTAGGAATGGGTTTTTATAAAAAATTGTAAATACTAATAACGAGTAAAATCTTCATTAAATCTGACCTTACTGGAGATGTGATACATGACCCTTTTTATCTCCCCACCCTGTCAACCTTCAGCCACAAATTTAATCACATCATTTCCCCTAATACACAAACCTCTCTGCAAAATTTAAGAAATTTTTGACAAAAAGCATGGGAGTGATTAGGCTTTAAACAGGGTGAACAAAATCATGTCGCCCTACACACTAACATTTTTTGACCAATTGCCATACTTCCCAGCTCTGTTATATAACAGAGCCAGGAAGTATGGAAATTGGTCAAAAAATGACCCCCCCAAAGATTTTTATATTTTTGGACTCAGGATCTTGAAACATTGAGAAATGCAAAAAAATGCAGGGGTAATTTAGAGAAGTAAAACTGAAATTGAAGTAAATTATTTGTTACAAATTGAAATTGATTTGAACTTCTCTTAATAGAAATGTACTCAATGTTACTATAGTTATGTGTTATAGAAGTTATCAAATAATATATAATTTTATTTTGCTATCTAATATAGAATGACTCCAGTTTACCAGCTTTTTGAAAAAATTTTATATTATAAACATTTGGGTCATGAAACCATTATAAATAAATATATTGGCTGCTTGAGCAAAAAGTTTGAGAAACTGGGCTTTAAAACCAGTTTTTCCTAGGCCACAAGCAAATTCTTCAACTTTAGCTCGTATTGAAATGGTTTTTGTTTCATGCCTGTTTAAACTATTTTAACATCACTTGTCAACATCCACATTTTCTAGTTCTCATACTCTTTTCCTATCTTTGCCACTATGTTTAATCACTGTTCAAAATTTTATCTTTATTTTTTTTGATAGGTGACCGATGTATTCAGTACAGTTCCAAAGTCTTTTGCAATGTCAGATTTATTTTTTAATTCCCTTTTCATTACCATAGAACTGCTACATTTTTAGCAAAATTTAAATGTTTTGTATTACACAAACTTTGTTTTTGACAGACACAAAATTCAATAAAAATTGCAAAGTAAACTTACAATAACAGCAATACTTTTCACCTTAGTTATACATAATGAAACTTACTAATACTATATACAAAAAAAAGGAAAAAGATTGTAGCAGTAACTGACTCCTTCCTCTTGAATTCAAAAATAGACTGATCAGCCAGTGTCAAATAGTAAGACAATGCCATTAAGTTAAAAATATCTTCAGTTCAATAATGGTAATTCATAAGTCATTTAGTAATGGTCAAGTTAAATAAAAAAAAAAGTTCAAATTACATGTTTTTTTTGTTTGTTTTTAATACCAGTAGAATAATTCAAATTAATCATGAATTTGAATTAAACAAGTTTGAATTAACTAAACTTGGCTGTATATTAATTGATGAAAGCATGTTTTTTAGTATAAGTACTAATAATGGAAAATTTTTAAAACATAAGAATACTGCTTGGAGTCAAAATGGTTAAGACTTGAAATAAAACAGCTTTTCTAATATTTTTGACTTCTTACAGCTGTATATAAACAACAACCCATCACCCAGTTTTAATTGATTAAGCCAAATGATCAATAATTAATAATAATAAAGTAATTAATTAATGATCAAAAGTTGCCCAAAAGTAACCTGATAATTCAGCAAGATCAGTTATCTTACATCTGTTTTCAGGGAATGTAAACAGAATCCAAACATAAAGCAAATTCAAACTCATTTAAATGTAACATTCTAGAACATTACACATTATTTTTTGAGTGCCTTCTACCAAGATCAATAAATCAATTGTAATTTTTTGTTGTACATAATAAATTATGTAGTATTGACAAAGAAAATCTTTTAATCATTTCAAAGAATTACAATATAATTAGAGAGATTAAGAATTTTATATATATATATATATGAACTAGCCTACTGTTGTTCAAAAATAAAATGCCAATTCTATAAAAAAAATTATATATTTCAATTTTGTTGCATAAATCTTTTGTAAATTTTTTAAATTAAAAATTAATATTTTATTAATTGATGTTTTAGAACTTAAAAGAAGATACTCAACTAGCTTTTGATAAGCCAGCAGTTACCAAACCATCTTCAGGAAGGAGGCGATTATATCCACCTGTTGCCTTTAAACTTCAGGTAAAAATAATTTTTAATTGTTATCAAATGATATTGATTGAATATTTTGATTTATTTATTTTGATATAACTTTTTTCCTTTATTTAATTGTATGGTATGTGATTTTGTTAATAATAATTTCTATAAATGCAGAATTTAGATTAAAAAATTTACTGTCTATTCACTTCAGACAATTATGATTTTAACAATTAAATCATAGACTTTACATGTTATTGATTATGGTTGAAGTTGTAAATATGATATTAATAATATTAAAAAATAACTTTTTAGAAAGCACAGGTAGAAGCACAGGAAATTCAAGTAAATTCACTAAATTGTTTTTCTGCTTTCCTTTATACAGGATGTACCAAAAACTATTACTCAAGTTTTGAAAATTATTTCTTGGCATGTTGAAAAAGTAACATAAATTGAAATTAGTTCATGTATGAAGGAAGAGCAAAGAATATAAAATATAGTATTTTCATAAAGATATACAGTGGAACCTCACTTAACTACAATAATTCGTTCCAGAATCTTACTCGTAATGCGAAACACTCGTTAAGTGAAACAATTTTTCCCATAGAAATTAATGTAAAATGCGATAATGCATTCCATGCCAAAAAAAAAAATACTCAAATATTTTACATATAACATTTATTCAAAGAAAATTACACAATATACATTATTAAGCGTGAAGCATCTTTATCTTTTTTTCTAGCACAGAATGAACCAACTTGGAATGCGAAATTGATTTGCAGAAAACAAAAAAATCATAGATAATGTCTGATGAAGACACCAAACGATATGCAAAATTCTTGGGCTATGTAAAGGCTATAATTAAATATTAGAAATTAATTAATTTGATTAGAGGTAGGCAGTTATGCTGCCATCTCGTATTAAATTTAATAATTATAAATAATTAATTTTTAATTTAGACATTTCTAAAATTTAATTTGGAATTGGTCATTAAATTTAGTACGAGATGGAGTATTTATTATATAATGGGTTATGATTGTCGATGTTTATACATAATATGTATGAACACAAGTTTGGAAAAATGTGTGATCATGAGCGACACTAAGATGCTAGTGGAATGAGTGCTAAACACATGATGGAGCATGCACACAATTTGGAATTTCCCCTTTCCTTGTCACTCATTATGCGAAACATCGCTCATTAATTAAGCAAGTCAAATTTTTACAATTTGTTTTGCTCGTTATGAGAAATACTCATTAAACGAGGTTCCACTGTATTTATTTAAATTGTTGTTGTGTCAGATTGTTCTCATTATGTGCAATGCTTGCAAGTTTTATGCCTATGCAATTTTCCTGCAAATTTTACCTACAAGTTTAGTCATGTGACATCAGTGAGATGTCGGCATTTTTTCTCTTGAAAACTAGGCATGCAATATTCACAACTATGTGCAAATTATGTATGTCCTTGGGACACACATAACTTGCACAAAATTGTGAATGTTACTACCTGCACAGGTGTCTTCCAGGCTGTATATTCTTTGTACTTCATACTGGATGTCATTTTATGTAGGGAGATAAGAAACTTTTTGCAAGGACACCAGGATCTGAATTCTATTGAATTTACCACCATATGTTTATGATGATGATAAAAAAAGAAAATAGAATTTTGTGATCCATTTTTGTGTGAATATATTTCATGTAGTTCCAGACTACAAGTAACTTTTGATAGATATTAAATTCCAATTTTTAATTCTAAATTGACTTTTTCTGATCAATACCTTATCCCATAGGTTTTATTGTGTATAAAAACATGCATTTTATACATCTTGGTAAAAAAAATTCACTCATCCTGTACTATCTTGATATGAATGATGATATGGTTGATCATTTTATTCAGGAGTCTGCATAATTTGTACTTTATGCATGTAAACAAAGCTGTTTATTAAGAAGACACTTAGTTCAAGAGATATTTTTTTATTAGATTTCTGTGAAAAGTATTGTCCATCTTTTTCACACTTTATTAGAAACACAACTTTTCTTTAATCTGACTATTGTCAGATTAAAGAAAAGTTGTGTAGTTGTGTAGCCTGTGAGTAACCCACACCATAGAAAATTCATGTTTAAAACTTTAAATTTTTTGAAACCTCATCTGGCCACATAATGAAGACTTTGTAATCTGTGCTAATAGTCAGGTACTTATTTTAGTGTTGTTAATATTTTCATTTTTAATTTATTATTTATATATTATTTTATAATACTTTATTTTATATATCTAATTTTATATTGGAGTCATTTAAAATTTTTGGAAATAGCATTTAATCACATTTCAAATAATTTGTAAACTACTTCATTGCACATATGGAATGTTCTGTTTTTAAATAGTTTTGTAACTTGTTTGATGTAAAAAATGATTCTCTTTTCTGATGAAGACACCTTAAAATGGCTGAAAATGTTTGTGTTTCTATTAAATTTTATGTGCTGGGATAAGTATGAGTGGTGTGCAGTGTTTTTAATCAACTGTTCCAGCTTTTGAGTGTTTATATGCTTAAAAGTGAGTTTGAAAATGGATGTAGGTTGTTTCTTGTTTTTAAATTGCAATTGTATACTCATATAGCAGTTTTTCTTTTGTCTAAAACAAAAGCATCTTTAAAAAACATGAAAATTCTTTTTGCTGCACATACTTATCTGCCATCATAATTTTTCTGGAAACCACTAAAGATATGCCAACATACATATGCCTTGTCTTAAGTTTTCTCCTGTTCATTTTTGCACAACAATCCATATTTTAATTGATATCATTAAATACTCCTATTGAACTTTTTTACTTAAAACTGATAAATTTTTAGTAATTTCTGCTCTGATGTAGTCTATAATACAAAATTAGTGTTAGTATAACATATAATAATTTTGAGAGAACTACACTGCTTGACAATTGCTAAGGAATAGTGAAGACCATACCAACTACCATATAATATTGGGCTATATATTGGCAAAAATAAATGATTTAATTAAATTATAATTAAACTTAATACAAGAAGGCACCTAATGTCTCCCTCTAGGGTCAAATTAATCGGTAATTCATAATTATTATTTTTAATATATAGCCTGATATTATACGGCAGTTGGTATAGCTTTATCAGGTTTCGTAGGATGTTTATATAAGGAATAGTGATGTCATTTCCACGAAATGTCACCCAGTAGACAACGCAATTGCTTGAATCAATCTGCAGATGGCACTGTTATACAATTCCTACAATTTGCATAAAAAGTATAAATCAACATTTGTTCTCACTGCACAAAATTTCTGTAGGAATAATATGATAGAGATTTGAAGATGATAACATCATTTTTTAGTAGAATATTTCAATTGAAAGCAAATATGTATCGGTTTCATTTTCCACAAAGACATCATTTGAATGCATATGATTGGAAAACTTGAGGTATGATTTTTATATGCACATTTCTTGTTTTTATTGTCCTGCTTCTTTCTATAACAGAAAATGCCTGCCATTTCATGACAATAAAGAAGATATTGTCAATATTGAAGATATTTCATGTCAATAAAGAAGTAGTGACTCTACTTATATATAGTATGTAGTTCTTTCTTGACTATATTCACTAATAATTTGCCAAAAAATGTTGTTGCTTCTAGCAATTATCAAGCAGTGCATTTAGAAGCCAATTGCTGATTTTTTTTCTATTTTCATTTACTACAATAAATAGAAGATGAATAATTGGGTTGCAATTTGAAAAAATTGTGGACCTATAAATTTCCACTGTCGTCTGTATGTCTGTCTTTTCTTAATTAGAGAACAAGATTAGATACATGAAAGTCAAGATTAGATATAGAAAGCTTAGGTGAAAGATGCCCTGATTAAGTATATATGAACTTCTGATGCAAACTGTTATTTCAGTTAAAAAATTTTTCCCTGAAAGGAGTTAGATAGATGACTGGCATGACTCCATCACTAATGGAAGAGTGTGATGTACAGGGGCAAGACACTACCGTACTATGTGATACACTTTTTGTCTAGTCTTGTGTTGAATTATACGAGCACTAAGATGGCTTTTCTTTTTCGCTAGACTTATTATACCATCAATAAAAAGGAGGACAAACTTTAGAAAAACTTTTTATTTCTTTGAGTATGCATTTTGGACAATTATGTCCCTTAACTCTTGTGTTACAACTATACAGGGAAAATTACATACAGGTTAGCATAATGTATACAAGTTAGCATAAATTTATTGTAATGTTACTAAATTGTAAAAGATCATTAGGAAACTTACATGGATTATGAGAAATGCAGGAGTTGTGACATTAGATAAAATATGGATGGCAATTATTGATTAACAGGTATAAGCTAAAATAATGATTAAATTAGAAATGATTTACAAAGGGGAAACAAACAACATAGATGTAAAAAGTTTTGAACTTGCTGCAAACATGACAGCATGGTACATAGTGTTGGAAAAGTACCCCAGTATACATGACACAGTGCTGTGTTAAGATTATAAAATTTCAGAAACCATGATCTTGATTACGGTAAGAACAATAGAAAGAACCTTTGGAACAAGCAGTATGATGAAGTGAAGTTAGTGCATCGTTAAAATGAAAGGGACATAAGAAAATTGTTTTAATTTACAGTAGAGTTTTACACGATGGGATGGTCCACAAATTGTAAGTGGGAAAGTTAACAGGATACATCAGATATAATAAGTCTAGCAAAAAAGAAAAGCCACCTTAGCACTCATAATTCAACTACAGTACTAATTTGAGGAGAAGAGCATATATTTTAAATTAAAATAATTTGAAAATATAATAAAAAATTGCAGCCTGGCATTGTGACAATGTCACAATAAATAATTGCTCATTGACTTTAGAATTGTGTCATTGGTTATTATCAGTATTAAAATTTTCTTTATTTAGGATTTTTTTTAGTTTATTTTAACATTTATGATTACAATTATTATTATACATTAATTAATAATATTATTTTATAAATAAAACACAAATGAAACTAAATCATAAAACAAAATTGTCATTTT